CGCTTTCGCTCGTCGGAAAATGTAGGGTTCCGGCGAGAGATATGTGATTCGGAGACAATGAAACTGAAAACCGATCGGCGATCGGGCCATGCGGGAGATCAATCGACGGCGAACATGGATTTTCTGCGTTTTACAAGGGTAAATCTGTCTTTTCACAGAACGAAGAGGGAAATTGCTATCTGTTCTGAGTTTTATACTATAATTTTTTTTTTTTGACGTGATAATTTGTTCCATTTTATGAACTGTACTTCAATAAATTAATTACTTTGTAATCTACTTTAAATTTGGAATTGACATGAAGTACTAAATAATGAAATTATAAAAAATTAATGATAATAACAACGCTAATTGTATTAAAAAAAAAACAACGATAATATTAATTAGATACTAGAACAATATTTCATAGCTTTACACTTGTGTTGTATGAAGCTTAAGATAAGATGAAGAAAAAGTAAACCTAAAAAAGAGTAAATTTGGATGTTTCTGTATATGTATAAGACCAAACTTTCGAGACATGAAAACAAGCCAAAAAGAGAGAAACAAATAAACCTTTTATCATCAAATAAAACCTCCTTAGTTAATAGGGAGGGGAGCACCGTTCCATCCTTTCAAGCATTCTAACATTGGATCAATCAACTTTCCAGCACAAATGGCTGAGAAAACCTTATCGAATTCTTCACCGGGGGATTTGACTCTCTCACCTGTTAATAAACTGGTCCCCAATGTTTCCCTAACAAATTTGTATAATGGGTAGGACCTGCATTGTTTGATTTGGTTTGGAATCGTTGAATTTTCACTCTCAAATTCAATTCTTGAATTTTCTACTTCTTTTGGTAGGAGGGTCTTCAATTCTTCCTCAAATGTCCCTATCTTGTGGAAAATTGAACTCCCGGGGTTTTCCTCTCTCTCACCATTGTTTAAAGCATGCTCTACTAGGACTTGTCTTARCTTTTGCATCAATGGATAGGTAGCACTGCAAGGGTCATCAATGTAGGTGAAAACATGCTCTCTATCGACCACTTGAAGCAAATYTTTTTCACTGAATCGAATTGGGTGAAGCTCTCCATTATAGTCCATGAGTAGTACTTTCTTGGCCACTTGACTAATTGTGTTCTTCACTGTACTCTTCAAATTCTCCTCTAAGTGCCTCAAATCAATAGCTTGACAGAGGGCTACCAAGAAAGTAGTAGACATCAACTTTAATATCTCAACTGCCTCTTCTGTTTTTCTTGAGGAAATCAACCCTAAAGAGTTCACATCTTGATTGTGTTGCTCTGCACTCTGGACATGGTTGGTGACTGGATTGGCTAAGAATTGCAGTTCTGAGCAGTACGATGCCATAGCAATTTCAGCTCCTTTGAAACCATAATCCAAACTGGGATTGCGGCTTGCAGAAAGATTGGAAGGCAACCCATTGTTATAAAAATCGTTGACAAGCTCTGAAAATTGAGCAAACATAAGCTTGCCAATGGAAGCAATGGCTAGTCTAGTGTTATCCATAGAGACACCAATTGGTGTGCCTTGAAAATTTCCTCCGTGTAAAGCCTTGTTTCTCGAAACATCAATCAAGGGGTTGTCATTCACCGAGTTTATTTCCCTCTCAATCRTCTTCGTTGCGGCCCGAATGACTTCAATTTGTGGCCCAAGCCACTGTGGAGATGTTCTAAGAGCATACCTATCTTGTTTAGGCTTTTGCAAAGGATCAATCTCATGCAATTTTTTAGYCGATTTTACATAAGAGCTTCCATCCAATATATGCTCCATTATAGCTGCTGCTTCAATCTGGCCAGGATGATGCTTTAATTTATGTGTCAAGTGATCGGTAAATTCAGGTTTTCCTTGCATAACTTCAGCAAAGATTGCCGACAAGATTTCAGAAAAAACTGCTAAAATGTTGGCTTCAAAAAGCACCATAGAAGCCAAACCAGATCCAACAGCAGTGCCATTCACTAGAGCAAGACCCTCTTTGGGTTGCAACTCAAAAAACCCACTATCAATCTCAGCTAATTGAAACGCCTCAGATGAGTTAATAAACTCTCCATTTGGCCCAACARCCTTGGAATTGGGTCTACCGATCAAAAGCCCAGCAATATATGAAAGAGGAACCAAATCACCAGAAGCAGTTATGGTGCCCCGCAGAGGCAAGCATGGAGTAATATTATGGTTTAGAAACTTGGCTATGGCTTCCAAGATCTCGAACCTAATACCAGAATAACCTTGTAAAAGGGTGTTGATCCTCACCAACATGGCAGCTCTCGTCGCTGACGATGACAATTTATGGGAACATTCTGTGTCATTGCCAAAGATTCCARCATTCAAGAACCTAAGAAATTAAAACAAAACTTAGTTAGGCCAAACAACTAACTAAATCCAAGTTGAATAATGAATTCACCAACGAAAATTTCAAGCTCTTGCTCTGGGCCACCAGCTAAGAAATTGAAAGATATCTCGAAAAGTATTCATGATTCTAATCTTGTGAATCTCTTCTTAATGGCATCCRTGAAGAATAAGGGATGTCAACCAAAATTTAAACMATTCATAAAATATAAAAAAAATAATAAAAAATTTACTAATATGCCCCYAAATTCCACGCTCATCAACCTATGTCGTCATATTAATTGGAAATATTATAAAAAAAAAAAGAGTTGATTATCATTACTTTGATTATACTTAACATTTTTTAATTAATCATAACATCGACAGGTAAACAACTATAATATTAACTCATATATATTTTAATGTCTTGTCCTTTCCAGCCATATAATTTAATATGTAAATTGATAAAAGATTGAAGAATTCCAAAAAAGAAAATACGAGTTTTTAACAGGTTGTCACAATTTAATTGGTCAAATAATTAGAGTCATTTTCAATCAAAAACAAAATGTGTGAATGATAATATTATATTATAATCAATTTAATACTTTATATCATAAATTTAAATTAAAACTTTTGAGATTTTAATGTACCACGATTTCCATTATCCGAAGTTTTGTTAAGAAAATGGCCTATTTTCATATTTTTGTTATTATTGTTCACGTGGATTTGTTTTTAAATTCTTCGTAAAAGACTTCATATTAACGGAAAAAATTTCTCTATTTATACACTAATTATATTTCTTACGCATATAATTATATCTGCCGTTTACTTTATGTAAAGAATCGTTTTGAAAAATTCAAAATGAAAAGAAAAAATATATATTATTCAATTAATCTTTTATTCCCAAATTTTAGTTATTTAAGAAGGTCAAACCCATGGTGGCCTGCACTAATCATAAATTTCATATTAATTTATTAAAATTTCTACTTCTTTTCATCATTTCTTCGGTTCTGATTTAGAATATTCGGTAAACATAAAATTATTTTTGTTTTTATTCATAAAAATAATAGCCAAAWTTTGGAAACACAATAACCACTTTTTCAATATGATCATTTTCACTCAAGTTTCGGAAAACATTAAAAAATATATATATATAGATGATTGTTAAGCTTATACGGAAAACAATGATTTACGTGAACTATAAAATTATACACCTGTTTCGTAACATTTTTCTTCTCATTTTCTGATAATATTCTATGTTTAGTAATATTTCTTATTTATTATTTTTCGATTAAAWTTACATGAAAATATATTTTAAAAAATTAAAACCTTAATACATGTATTAAAATAAAAAAAGAAAGAAGAAAGAAAAGACATTTCACGTTTCACCAAACCAAACATGGCAAGAGATGGATAACCAATAATCTACTTACCTCATATAGACACATAAAAACATACCGAAGTTATTGGAATTAAAACTATTAATTAAAACCAACATAGATAAAATTAATGAAATTCATCTAATTAATTACTCACCTAATAAGTTCTCTTTGAAGGGCTCCACCTTGTTTTGTTCTTCTATGCGACGTTGCACCAAAACCAGTTGTGACACCGTAACTATCCGTACCCTTATTCATACTCTCCATCACCCAATCGCTGCTGGCCTTGACTTGAGCCCGACTCTCCTCTGCCAACTCCACCGTGACATTACTGCTGGTGCCACTAGCAATGGCAGCGACTTGTGCTATCGTTAGACTCTCACCACCAAGCCGAACGAGTGGCTTCCGATACTCCTCCACCATCCGCTTTACCTCATCCAAATGGCTGCCCTTCATCGCCTCCGCCGCRGCCCCCCAGTTAAGTGGGTCCCATTGGACGTGGCCGTTGCCGTTGCCACCGCAAACGTCCAAGGCCGCGGCGGCGCCGTTTTGGTGATCGAAGGCCATGAGAGTGGCTGTTTGGGAAAGGGAGAGAAAATTTGAGGAGTTTTGTTTTGAGAGAACGTTTATTTTTTGCCCTTCTTCTTCCCTGAGATTTGGTAACCAAAATTCGGTTGCTTTTTATAGAGAGTGCCGAACGACATCTCATTGACTGTCGGGTGGGGCTCGCCGATGGGTTAGTTGAGAATTTCACGTGGCCGTTCGATCTTCCTTATGGATCAGATGACGACACGTGGCGTTGCGGTGTTTGGTGAAAAGACGCGCTATAAGAGGGTTGGTGAAGTAGTCATATCTGACATACCGCCTGCTTTTCTTAAATAATTATATATTCCACATTTTACTTAATTATTTATTATTTCTTTTAAAATATTATTTTAGTTATTATAATTTTCATCAACATATTAGACATATCAACGCTTTCACGTATCAATGAGTTCAACATTAATTTATCAACATTTCTATAATATTACTACAGAATCTACAAAATAGGTAAATATTAACAAAATTACATTAATATTTACATAATATTAATATCAATCATTTTTAATTTATTTAGAAATGGTGAAATGATTATTTGACATTTTATCAATAATTCCATCGACATTTTTATGAAATTAGGACTTCGACATTTCCATTAATATCTACAATTAAAACTTAGCTTTCGGTTATATTCATTTTGCTCATTGTACCCTCTACTTTAATAAGTAACCAATTTGTCCCTATTTACAAAATTTTAATACAAATTTTATACCTAATGAAAATCCTCTAATACAAATTTACGGTTACATTTCATGAAATTTAATGAGTGGAATGTCATGTTAACATTTTGATTAAAATAAATGAGACGAAAATAAGAATAAAGGTAGAAATGGTCACTTTCCTAAAATAAGATGAAAACGAACGTTTCAAAAATATATGAATTAAAATGAATAAAAGTTGAAAGTATAGGAATTAAAATGAATGTTTTGAAAGTACAAACACCAAAATAAACAAAACTCAAAATGGAGGAACCAAATGGTATGTAGACATTAAAAGAAATCTATCTAATTTATTTTAGGTTAAATTATGAATGTGGTTCCTAGGTTTGGACAAAGTTTAAATTTGGTCCCATGGTTTAAAAATTTTCATTTTAATTCTCATAATTTAAGTTTATCTTTCAATTTGATTYCTATGATTTTAGAAGTTTTAATTTGKCATCCGTAATTCAGTTAAATTCGGGAGCAATGAATATTGTATATTGTAGTAAATAATTTGAGGTGTGATGTGGGGTATGCAATCTTACTTCATCAAARTCATACCAAACCCCCAATTCCAATGGGCTAATTAGAATGTTACATAATAATTATAAATTTAATGCATATTATTTTTTTAGAAAAAGAAAAAAAAATATACATTAAAAGTAATAAAATCATAATTCCTCTTGCTAGGTGAAGGGTTGCAATCTCCCATTTCAACAACCCTCATTAAATTTAACCAACTCYCCTATTGGCATATTAATTTTACCTATCATTTTTAAGTTTCCTGTTTGATTACTTATCTTATCCCTAAGTTTAATTTTATTTATTTTGAATCTTTTTATATATCCCATATGTGATAGCTAATAATTTGATAAAAAAATAATTAAGGAGGGTTAAAAACCCACTTTATGAGTCAGTTGTTATAGCATTTATTTCATCTTATATTATATGATTCGGAGGGTCTGATTGAAGCCTCCCTAAGTTTAGTTTTATTTATGTTGAATACGTTTATATATCCAATATGAGATAGCCAATAAATTGGATAAATGATAATCCATGAGTAGTTGGTATATTATTTGGCAGAAACTTTTAAATTGATGCGTATAATCAATAAATTTAATTTAATTTTGGTCAAAAGAAAATTTAATTTTATTATTTTGAATTTTTTTTATATATATCCAATACGAGATAGTCAATAAATTTGACAAAAAGATAATTAAAGAGCAGTTAATAATTCATTTTTAACATATTTATATATTTTTTTTCTCTCTATAAGGATCACCCACCAAACACATTAGAAAAGTTCTCACCAAACCCACTCTAGTCAATTGCTTCAATTTTATTAGGATGATCTCTCTCTCTCTCTCTTTGTGACCTACTTCACATTTCCAAGTCATCCCCACATTTGTGTGTGGAAAGAACACTTTGAAAATGGGGAATAGACTTAATGGTGCAAAGTGTGAAGTTTGGACAACAGCTTATAGACCATTTTGTAAGATTCAAGCCTCAAATAATTAATGCCAATATCAGTAATTAATTTAGTATATTATGCTTTGTTCATGATTTTTGTTGATGTGTGTCCACACATCAATTGGAATTCTATATAGTTTTAATGTAGGTTTGTCGGATCTTGTCAGACAAGAAAATTTGCATTGGTCTGGTGTTTGACCATCTATACACTTTGATGTTAAGTTAGTATTAATAGTAGCAGCTGGTGTCGAGTCTAGTTAAAATGGTGTGCCTTTGAGAAGAGTGGAATGACTCCGCCTTTTATACTAGTTGGGGAGTGTCGAAAATCGAAACTCTTATGTCGTACGTGTCGTTTAACGGATTTTTCGTACGCAATTGGAAGATCTTTTAATAGCAAAATCGTCACCCCGTAGAATGTCTCAACGAATTTCCTCGATCAGCAATCTTCTCTAGGTCGGAGTCAAGTTGAGCTTTGCTTGCTTTGCCATGGGCCCTTCATTCCTATCTGGGGATACCCGAGTTGYAGCTTAGACACACGTGTTTCAACGGGAAGAGGCAGCTTAGTTTTACCTTGTAACAATTTTAATTAAATTAATTAATTTATAAATTTAGAGTAGGAGAGAACTTAAAGGAGGAGAAGAGGGATGACAAAYAGAAAGGAACTGAAGTCTAGGATATTTTGTATCCTCGTTTCTGACTCACTCTCCATTTTAGAGAATTGAGGTGAAGGCTGATAATTCTCTACCCGATTGTGGTGAAGAAAAAAACAAAGCACCAAAGAAAAAATAAATAAAAGGAAAAAAAAAAGAAGAAAAATAAAGCACAAAGAGAGGGATCAATCTTAGAGGAGAGAGAGGGGTTATAAAATAAACCCGGTTTTTTGACAGGATAAAAAACCGGTCCACSTAAGGTGTTAATGATGCATGTAAAATTCTTTTTGCGTGCAAATAATTTCAAACCTCCAACTTAAGATAGACTTTATATGGCTAGGTTCATTCCTTCCCCTTRAACCGTTCAACCAGTCAAAACAAGCATAGTTCATCGATAATTGGTATATATCTCCAATCWAGAKGTTGTRAGTTCAATCCTCCACCTTCAATCAAACACACGGGAGTTTCTTTGGAATTAAGTAAAAGATTTTATCCATAAATGTAGGTTTGACCGCACATAAAATTACAATTTAATAATGTAATGCCTAAAAAACTTTAAATTTACTAGTATTTGTCATTGTTGGAATAATCTAAAAAGAACTTTTAAAATGGCATCAAGAATTGAAGAGAGAGAGAATGATTCATTTTTGCGATTTTAAGATGGCATTTTGTGATTTTTAAAATTTTTTCAGTGTTGTAATTTAAAAAAATATATATTTTGGCAAAATTTTTCTTTTAATGTCATCTTTGTAATTTTTAAAAATTTCTCTTCTAAAAAATTGAGTGTAGGAAAATGGTAAGTTTTCAGATTGGTAAAAAAAATTATGGATAATTTGTGTGATTTAATAATAAATTGAAGTTTTTAAAATTATGTTATATCAAATTAAAGTTAAGCTAAATATTAAATTTTAAATTTTAGAACTATTTTAAAAATGGATGATTCATCTCCTACCATTTCAATGGTTGAATTAAAGAAAGAAAAAATTAACGTTAATAATCAAATTGAAAATATTTCCAATTCGAAGGCATAAAAAGCATATTCATAATTTATCTAAAAAAGGTAGATTTAATAATTTATTTTAAAGTAGTTTTTTAGTGGGCTGCTTTATGGTGGGTGTGGCCCTGGCCCATATTCGAACTCGAAACTTTTCTTTTCTTTTAACAGTCTCGGAACTTCCGAACTTGTACAAATATTTTTTAATTACTGTACAAATTCAATTACAATTACAAGTCAGAACTTGAATTTAAATCGAAATATATTTAATTTGGATTTTAAATATTAAACTGCGTTAGTAAGAATAGGACCAGTCTCCAAAAATAAACATAAACACAGCGCCAAAAAAGTACTATGTATAGTGGTGTCTCTTGTCGAGAGTGTACTAGGTTGTCTCTTAAAGATGATCTAGTGACTAGAGAAATTTAAGAWGCATTATATTTGAAATAAATTTGAGATATGTGTTATTTTAAAARTAAAATTGAAAATTTGTAATATTTAAAAAAGAATCCTGCATCCTTAAATAGACATTTGATAATAATTTTGATATAATGATTATAGGATAGAAAATGATACTTATCTTATTTGTAAATATCACTCATATTAATAAAATCAATTTTGTCACGGATGCGTCCATAATTCAAAAGAGGTGACCTAACCTGTCATATTTTCCAATAATGACGGATCAAAATCAATCAAAATAGATATTCACACTCAAATGCTCCATTAGCCTTCTCTTTTTTTGGTTCGGATTTTTCGTGCGGTTTTAGAATTATTATATGATTACAAAAAATCAAAAAGTTGTTAGAAACGTACCTTTAGTCGTTGTACAATTAATGAGTCTGTCTCTAATAAGGTGATTGTTGTACTTTTTAATTAATTACGATTTAACTCATAAACTTTAATATTTAACAATTTAATTCATATAGTCTAAAATTTGTAATGAGTACTTCTTATCTCTTATAAAAATTAAGTGTCTATTTTTATCATATAACAATTTAGTCTTTGGGTTCGTTCGAGTGGCTCGACTCGATTTGGTAGTTTGACGCTCGTCGAATCGAGTCTGATTTGCTCGATCCACTTTGCTTCCTTGCCCTTACTTGGTAAACCAGTAAGATAATTTAACCTATTATTATAGAATTCGAAAGTATTTTTAAAATCACCATTGAACTATATATCTATGTAGAATTTTATTGAAAACTCGAGCTTTTTTTTCTTCTTTAATTATTTTATAAGTTAGGATGTCTTGAATATGCCTACCTTGTAAATTACCACGAATCCAAAAGTCTAAGAACTAAACCAATTCAATCGGATTAAAAAAAATGACCCAAATTCACTTTAAACCCCATTCAATTCTAAATAAGATGGATTCTCATTCGTGTTGAGGTTATTCACTTGAATCACCAATTATTATGTTGCTAATAGAACTGTAATCTAATGAAATATTTTTGTATAAGGCTTTTAAATTTCTAAAATATGAGATGGGAATTTTCCCCTCAGATATTCTCTCAGGTAAATAGAATTAAAATAAACTAATTGAAATTCTTTTAAAATGGAAAACCATATTAAACTTAAACTTAAAATCCTTATAAAATAATAGCTTCCGTAATCAACAAGCACCAGTGGTCTAGTGGTAGAATAGTACCCTGCCACGGTACAGACCCGGGTTCGATTCCCGGCTGGTGCATTCCTCGTCTTGCGATGATGAAAAATTGTGTCCTCTGTGATCTTGGTCGATCACAACCGTCTGATCATTTGGATGGAAATATCTTGGGCACGTCGGAGCTTGACTTTTTTTTCCCTCCTATGTAGTTACAATTTGTTCTCTAGAATCTAACCTATTTTATTTGAGTTTTTTTTTTTAATACCTGAGTTTAGTTGCACAATTTCATTTCTCTAAATAGAAAAGTACAAAAAAAAACAATCAAAACGGATATTTTATTTCTTAAATATTAAATAAACTACCCAGAAATCTGAGTTAGGATCAATTTAATTCGATTATAGATATCTGACTATGCTAACCATCGTCAAACACTTGAAATGGTAAGAAATTTCTAATTACACGTACTATATAATTTAGGAATTCTAATTTAAGTAGAAATTCTCAAATAATATAATCTAATTAGGACTCCGAAATAATATAGTCAACGTATGACGTGAAAATCTCAATCTTAACCATACATGTTAATCTTGCAAGGTTAAAAATACAACAAAATACTTACTTACCTCATGTCGTAGCAAAAATTTTGAAGATCAAATTTAGAAGAAAAAAGAAGAAAACATAATCTTTTAATCACTATCTCAATAGAAAAACATGTGCTTCTGTTACGTTAGAGGCCCTAATTTTTGTAGCAAAAAATCCCCATAAATAAGAATCAAATGGAATTAAAAGGATTTAAAACCACCCATAATATGAGATACTACCGATAGTGGGGCCACTAAGGTTCAATTGATGCAGGTACAACCAGAGAGACAAATTCAAAAATAAAATAATAAAATAACTTTAAATAATAAATATAAATATTAAGGTTGAACACTTACAAGATATGAAATAAATTTTCTATTAAATTTTGTTTAAAGTGACAAGAAATATATTTTTTTAATATAAACTCGATAAATACAAAAGATTTGGAACTGTCATCACCAAGACCCCGTGTCAAAGATTTGACGACAGTAATGGCAGAACAGGTACCTGTGTAGCCGGTAGCCGGTAGCCGGCAGCTCTAATGCCATAATTCCTTCCCTGCTAAGAAATCAAACCTATCTATTAGAATTTAGAAGTCGCAATTTTCTCGGCATTATCTTTTGAAAATAATTTCATTTATTATAAGACCAACCTTTTAAACTTAAACTTAAACGTTGATGTCTCGATTTCACGTAAATGTCGATTAAAATATAGATGTAAAGAACTGAAGGATCTACTTTTAATCTGCATTTATTATGTAAAGAAAAACCAAGAGATTATATACAATCTTTTAAATATACTTTTAACATTTGGTAATACAATTTCTTTTAAAAACATAAATAAAAATATTTTATTATCATTATTTATTTATAAAATACATTAAAAATATTAAAATTATATATAACGTTGAAAATTGTTTCTCAATAGCTTAGAGAGTTGAGATGTCAACAGCTTAGCCAATAATACTTGATCATTATCTCTCTACTCTCCAATTCAACCCATCTAATTTTGATTATAACGTTTGAATAGACCATTCTAAATTTTAATTTATTAATTTATATAATAAGTTTCATATTTGTTTCAATTATCCCTACTTCTAGACTTAGTCTTATATTCAGAGAACACATTCTTCTTTTATCAGTAAAAATCCTTCCATTTTGATTCCATATACTAACAACCAGATAATACCAGTAAAAAATCTACTTATTACTTACACGAAATTTGTACATTATCGCTATAGAGCGTCAAAATGCCTGAGCAAATACTTTTCAATGCTTTCAAGGCAAGTACATTTCAAATATATGTAATTTATACGTAATCCAACTAAGCACACGTCGATACCAATTCAGACTAAATTCTAAATTAAGATTTGGAGTCTCAACCGTTGAGCATCACACGGATGCAAGATTCTGTGTATGTGCAAGTATTGGGCTCGAATTCACATCCACCTCAATTTCAAAATTGACGCGTTACCTTGAACCTTGCGTCTTAAAAATCTAATTTGTTCATCAATTTCTAACTTGTGCTACTACATCACATTATTTTATCAAAATAATTGAAAAAATTGATTGTCACATCTATAGTGTTCAATTATAAAAATATATATATAACATTACAGACATATGATGTTATCCATTAATTACCATAGATAGAGATTCAAATGTCCAACATATTAAAAATGTTATTAATTGTCTTTTATTGTTAAACTGTACTTAAATTGACTTGACAAAATTTTTAACGTAAGTTATGTTTAAGTTAGTAACTTCCATCAGAGACATGTCTAACTTGTATTAAATATGGAAGTTAAAAACATATATAATTAAAAAAAAAATCAATAGACAAAACTAAATTAACTAAAATAAGATTCAATTCAGTGTTCGAGTACAAGTTTTGTCCATTTAGTTTCTATATTTTAACAAGGTCAACTTAGCTTCTATACTTTTAAAAAAATGGATCTCTTGTACCTTCGTTCTCTTTTCAATCTCACTTTTTCCGATCGCGATTTCAACACGATATCACATGCGATAATTTTTTTTAATTGTAGCTATAACTTTGTATTAAAATAATTTTGTTGTGTTAAAAATTTGAATTAAAAAAATTTTGAAATAGAAAATGAAATGAAGTGGAATTGAAATTTAAAACCATTTTGAAGAAAGTTTAGCGGGCATTTCACGTTTCTGAGTTGCGTGGCAATGCTCGTAACTCGTCTAGAGGGCTATATTAGGTAGAGCAGGTATTTCGTTCTCAAGAGTCTGCAAATTTTGGCGTTTTCTTCATTACGAGTTTACGAATTCAGTCATCACTTCTTCAAATTCAATTTCAATTTCAATTTCAATTTCCTCCCCAAGTTTATTTACTTTTCAACACAAGCTTTTGATTTCAACTTCATCTTCTTTGATGATTCTGATTCCGATTCGAATTCAAGTCTCTTTTCTCATCTGCATGTCTCTGTTACATCCGATTCAGCTAAAATTCTGCTAAGTTTTGATCGGAATGGGATTCTTTAGCACCGTCTTCGGAGTTCTTGGTTTCGGAATCGGACTTCCTCTCGGACTCTTGGTTGGATTCTTCCTCTTCATCTACTCGGAGCCTAAAGATGTTGAGGTAATAATATCCATTGCCGTTTACAGTTCTTGATTGATTGATTGATTGATTGATTGATTGATTTCTGCATCTGGTTTCAAATCGTGATGATTTCTTCTCCGTCTCTTGCTCCTCTTTTATTCCTCTCTTTCCATTTCGAAATCGTATAATCAGAATCAGAATCGAGAAATGATTTGAATCTATTTTTCTCCCTCGAACAGAATGCATTGAACTTCAAAAAAGTTCAAAAACACTATTCGATTGTTTTAATATTCATTTGAGTTCCGATTCAATCGAATCGAATCCCTGTGTTCTTCCCGAGATAAGACAATGGCGTTTTTAAATGCAGGAACCAGTAACGAGGCCTGTCTGTGAGTTGGACGCAACTTCTTTGCAAGATCTAATGCCTGAAATTCCATTTTGGGTGAAAAGCCCCGATTACGATCGAGTTCGTAACGTTTCTTTGGTTGATTTTAATCAAATTTCTGGTCCAATTGATTTTTTGAACTCTGGATTATACTGATCAGTATTGCAAAATTTGGTTACAGGTGGATTGGTTAAACAAGTTTTTATCGGCCATGTGGCCTTACCTTGATCAGGTGACATAACTTTTTGCAGTTTTGTTTTTTGTCTGTGGGTGGAGCTTGGATATAAAATTTATTTAGTTTACAGGCAATTTGTGGTATTATAAGAGCCATTGCCAAACCTATATTTTCAGAGTACATTGGGAAGTTTCAGATTGAAGCTATTGAGCTTGAGCAGCTAAGCCTTGGAACTCTTCCTCCAAAACTTCATGGTTAGTCTCCCCCATATGAAGCTAGTATCAATTGTGTATTAATTCACATCTTCCAACCTTCAAAATTGTTTTTAACTGGAACAATTAGACGTGACGATAATAGAATGAGTTTTTTGTAATTGATTTGGAGCATGTTTGAAAATGATTTTACTGTCAAAATTAATTCTATTTTAAAATAGAATTTTTGGTTCGGATAGGTTACTTTATCAATCACCTTGAAGAATGATCCTCTTGGTGATTTTGGACCAAAAAATTAATAGAAAATTAATTTTTAAAATGGTTATTAGTCATTAATTTTCAAAATTCTTTTTTATTCACCTTACATTTTGAGATTCTTTTTTTTCTTTTTTCTAAAATTTTTTGTCGTTGTTGAACTTTATTTATCTTAAATTTTATTTATTCTCTCTCTTTTTTTTCTGAAAATTTTTAATATCTCTCTAAAGTTTTAGTCTCTTTTCTTTTGCGAGTTTATTTCTCAATCTAAAATTTTTGTCTCTCACCCTTTAAAATTTCTCTAGATTTTTTTTTCTCTCTAACTTTTCTCTCTTGAAAAATTTGTCAAATTCTCTCTTTAAACTTTAAATACTAATCATTCAAAATTATTTTTAATTATAAAAAAAATCACTTGAAAAAGTGTGTAACCAAAAATTTAAATAATTATATAAAAATCACCTTCACAAAATCAATTATTATTAAATGATTTTCAAATTTCAAGCTCAACGAAAATCACCTACCAACTAATACTTCAAAAATCACTTTAAAATGATTTTAGATTTTCTCAAAATCAATTTTATCCTTTTACCAAACATCATCATTTAAAAATAAAAGGGTTTTATTAATGCCAAAATCACTCCCACACATACTCTTGGTTGACCATTTTATGATATCCTCACACCTCCAAATATATACTCTCAAATTTACTTCTTCCAATGCATTTTTTCAATGAAAAGTGATACTTTTTATTAGTCACAACAAATACTCTCTTATGTAATTAGAGAAGCGAATGTGTGAAAAAATTGAAGTTACCATGAGACACTGTTATTAAATTTTGTTCACACTACTTTTCAGGTCTAAAAGTGTATGAAACAAATGAGAAAGAACTGGTGATGGAACCAGCAATCAGATGGGCAGGCAATCCTAACATAGTAATGGTGGTGAATATCTTGTCTCTGCGCATCACAGTTCAGGTCACAACAGCCTAATGACAATCTTAATCAGCAGAAAGTCTGTATAAATATCTTATAAGAAGTGAATTTTTTCATCTAATATTCACTATTCTTCTTTCTCAGATGGTAGATCTGCAGATATTTGCAACGCCACGGTTGGCTCTGAAGCCTCTTGTGCCTACTTTTCCTTGTTTTGCCAATATCGTAGCATCTTTAATGGAGAAAGTAAGTGCAAACGTACTGAAATTATACGCACTTTTATCCATGATATTATCTGTAGTTCCGTTGCTTTGCGAATAATTCTACCTTTATTTATGCAGCCACAAATAGACTTTGGATTGAAGGTGATGGGAGGAGACATCATGTCTATACCCGGTCTTTATCGGTTCACTCAGGTGCTTCACTGGTAATTATTCATCTTGTGGTATGTTGAAATTGAAATTTGATCTTTGATTTAACAATGAACAAACCAATTCTTTGCTTTGTGTAGGAGACAATTAAGAAACAAGTTGCAAGCCTCTACCTCTGGCCTCGGAATCTTGAAGTTCCTATCCTCGATCCTTCGATGTAAGACGACAAACGGAATACTTCATCTACATGAAATTTTTTTTTGCGCTCGGTTAATTGTCTCGTCTCTCTTTGTATAGATTGGCCACGAGAAAGCCTGTGGGGATATTGCATGTGAAGGTTGTACGAGCTTCAAAACTCTTGAAGATGGATATTTTGGGAACCTCTGATCCATATGTCAAACTAAGCCTGAGTGGTGAGGGGCTACCAGCAAAGAAAACAAGTATTAAAATGAGGAACTTGAATCCTGAGTGGAATGAGAAGTTCAAGCTTATTGTTAATGATCCCAAATCTCAAGTTCTTCAGCTACAAGTCTATGACTGGGACAAGGTACTTCTTGCCACTTTTCAAGCATGAAATGCCAACAGTATCATCCCTTAACTTCTTCAAATTTCATGTTATAGAAGCGACAATTAGAAGTTGACTTCTTCCATGGCAGGTTGGTGGACATGATAGATTGGGAATGCAGTTAGTTCCTCTAAACTTGCTTCCACCCTTTGAGACCAAGGAACTTGTGCTCGATTTGCTTAAGAATACAGACGTCAACAATTCCCAGAACAAGAAGCCTAGAGGGAAACTTGTTGTGGAGCTCATGTTTGCTCCGTTCAGAGAAGAAAGCATGAAACTTCTCGAAAATTCAAACAGTGACGTGAAGAATGAAGGCAGAAGCAATGGCGAGTTGGAGATTGAGAACCAGACATCAGGCGGAGCGGGTGTATTATCTGTGACAATTCAGGGAGCTCAGGATGTCGAAGGGGAGAAGCACAATAACCCTTATGCTGTTATACACTTCAGAGGAGAGAAGAAGAAAACAAAGGTGAACCCAACTTTTTATCTACTCTTGATCGTGATTGTCTTTGATTTTCATCCATTTATTTGTTTCTGTAGATGATTAAGAAAACCCGTGATCCTTTGTGGAATGAAGAATTCCCATTTATGCTAGAGGAGCCTCCTATTCAAGAAAAGATCCATATTGAAGTTCTGAGCAAGCGGACTGTTTTCAGTTTTCTGCGAAAGGTATTTTCCCAGTAACTAATCAGATAGATGATAATTTTCTAATAAAAGAATTGAAAATATAAGTTTTCTTGATATTTATAATTATTTTTTCTAAACTGACCTGGATTTTAAACATTGAAACTGTACATTATATTTTTGGTAGGAATCGTTGGGACATGTGGAAATCAATCTTGCCGATGTTGTAAACAATGGAAGGATAAACGAGAAGTACAGTCTGATCAATTCAAAGAATGGAAGGATTCATGTAGAAATGCTATGGACAATGGCTTAAGAACGGGGAGTATAGAAATTTAGTAAACTTTTGTTTCTTGTTCAAAAAATAGAAATTTTGTAAACTCTCAATAGCCTGATGGAGTCTGGTCTCCAATTGAAGCTAAAAGAACTTGGGTTGGTTCAAGCCATCTGCTCTCAGTTTGTGATCGGGGTCAATGGAAAGTCGAGGGTAGCCACGACATTGCTTCAGGGATGTTGGGTAACTTTTCCAAGCCCTCCATGGAATCCTTCTGGTCAGAATATTGTCAACTTGCTATTGTGAACACCGAGTCAGACTCATAAGAAAAGGCATCCCCAGTGAATAATGGAAAGATAGAAGAAATGGTAGATCGAACCGTTGCGTGAATTTGTCGCCTTTCCTTTTTTTCCTCCATTTTGCAATAAAAGTTCAACATTACTTGAAAAGGATGTTTATTTGCATAATATCTTGAAAATGAATTAGTTGCTCGATCACTCAGCGCAAAAAAAATCTCTTTGGAAATTGAATCCAAGTAACTTGCATTGCACATACACAGTACATAAATCACAGGTAGGGAAACAAAACCTGAGTAGATATTGCCTGCAACGGGATGGAAAGAATTTACGATGTTCGACCGCTAGGCTTTGGAATTCTCTTGTACTCATAATCGTTGATGTTTACCTTTTCTTGTAAAGCCTGAAAATCAATAACAATTAGGCTGTATATAGTGAAACTGCAGATGACAACAAGAGAGTATAGAGTTATACCCTTAACTCCTCTTCCAAAGATATATTTTTCGGCTTATATGCATCAACAGGTCCTGTTCTTGATAGAGCTTTTCTCATCTCAGTGATCTCCCATTCTTGGTCATCTTTTACCTTTGCAATATCTTTACTGAACTACAAAGGCGCCCACGAGTCTTTTAAAAAGGATATCAAATTGAAACTAAGAAAATAATAATCTAACATAACAAGAACATTACAACTCTCGTGATCTTGACAAATTATTTTCCAAAATCTGTAAACTTCTATAACTCTAAAAACTTTATATAGTACATCATTGTAGAGAACATTACAACTGGGAAAGATACGTCGTGAAAGGCAAACCAGACACAGACAGTCTGATAATATCAGGTTTAATGGACAGCACAAGAAATTCCCATTCGTGTAACATTTTATCCGTCGACTTAATTCATCACTCAAAATCCTGAGGGGACGTATTTCTCCACTTGTAAAATAAGATACTGTAAATTAAATCGATCTCCAAAAGAGCACAACACGAATCTTAAATTTCAAATCATAACAGCAACCACTAACCTTCCTTGCAAGAGATGGCCTAGACCAACTGCCCCAAGAACAGTGAGAGAGATCATTGGGAGTCCATATCTGATAAATGGGTGTCTTCTGCCCCATCTTCTAAACATGGATGGGGACGCTCGAGCTGTATTGGTGGCCGATGAAATCTTGTTCGGCTCCATAGATTGAACCATTCCTACTTCGGGGCTGGTCATTGTGCAAACCGTGGAAAAACCTAAATTGATAAACATCGACAAAAAGGTTAAGCTTGCAAAATTCAAGTGGTAGAGAATAAAATGTAGTTCTCCTTCTAGTGTGCCATAAATTATGTCTGCTATACTGTATTATATTACATAAATATATCTATTATGTAAGAGAATGTAACGTTCAGAATGAAAGTAAAAACTCATAATGACATGGAGGAAAATCTAACATTTTAGAACTGAAAGACAGTTGTACAATCTATAGAGTATAGAACACATCCTGTTCATCAAAATGTAACTCCAAATTAATTCCTCACTTTGCCCAATCTTTTCCTTTCAAAACAAATTCTCTACCTTGTCTCCTACCTCAAATCAAGATGTCAACAGGGCAGAGACAGAGGCAAGGGTTTTGCTACCAACTCTTTCTAACCCCAAACAAGGATGTCAACCACGCAGAAACCGCCCCCTAATGCGAAGAAATGCGACGGTGGAAGACTTCGAGCAACAAACGAAATCCAATGGATTTCTATAATTTTTTGGCTAGGCACAAGATTTATGTTCAACGATAATTTTGAAATGTACTTATATGCTAATATTACTTATTTTATTTTACTTAGCATCTACCCTAACTGGAGCGCCCATGAGAAGGGACCTAACTCATGGGATCAAGTTTATTCTTGTTGAAAATTTGAAATCCCTACCCTCAAAAGTATATTCATCAGCTTCCACAACAAAGAAAAGTACAAACCCAAACAATCTCAAGAAGAAAAATTACCCAAGCCCTAAGCTTGTTATGGCTCAAATAATTTTTCCCTTCCTCTCCAGCCTTCCATGTCTCGAAGGAAGTTCACTTAAACCATCGAAGGTCGTTGCAGAACAGTAGCCATAAACAACCAGACTAACCTAACTCCATCGTTTGTTAGTTGCCAGGAAAACAAGAAAAATAGACATGGAAATCTACCCAAATAACAAGATCAGAACACAATTTCAAACACCAAGCGAAAATATCATCGCGTTTAGAACAAAAAACAGAAAGAGCAAATGAAGCAGAGAATCATAAGAGCAAAATTATTTACCATTCTCCGCCACACCAATCCCCTTGACGAACAACAGAAAAGAGAAATCGCACGATCGATAGATTGCAATCAAAGACGCGGGAGAGAGAGTAGAGAGTATTCCAACCCAAAATCGCTTCGCGAGATGCTGCCTCTGTATTTTTCATTCATTTTTCGATTTTAAGATCTTTATAAAAATAAAAATAATAAATATATATTTTTTATTTGGATTTTAAATTTTGGATTTGCGTTTTTTTAACGTGATTTTATGTTTTTCTTTAATTTTAGAATTTGTTCTTTCTATTTAGTAGGTACCAAACGTAACTTTTTGTGTTAGTTGATTTGGTGACTAATTTTATTTCTTTCAATACAGTAATTTATTTTACTATTTTTTAGTTTATATTTATTAGAACATTTTACAATATACATGTAATTAATCCATCGTCCATCCTATTTTATTTATTTATTTATAATTTTTCTTAGTAGCGCTTGCCTATTTGGATTAGACAGTAGGTCGTGTTTCATCTAAATATTATTAAATTTATATTTTCAAATGATTATTTTGACTTTTGTTCTTTATTAATTGGAATATATTACTTTTATTTTTATTTTTTTTCTTAACTATAGTCCTTCAAAATATATGTATTTTTTTATTTTTTTATTTCAATATATGATAAAATATAATGATGAGATATATTTGATCATATACATTTTAACCAACAATCATATATATCACTTAAATTATTAACTATAAATATTATAATATTTCTTGAATGGAATTTAGGATGAGTAATTCAACTTCAACTTGCTTGTAGATGAATTTGATATTATCAACAAAAAAAAAATGTTTGTTACTCCAAAAATTAACATGTTATTTTCAAGAACCAACACTCATCTATTTATTAACCACCATTAAATTATTAACCACCATTAAATTTTGTACGAATAGGAGAAAGAAATACATAAAATAAAATATTTGTTTAATATTTAAAAATAAAAATAAAAAATTGTCAAATTTTTAATTACGGTCAATGAAAAGGTAAGCAAAGAGAGTGTTGAATATGTTAAACACTCGTTAAAAAATGAAAGGTTAGTAAATTTAGAGTTTAGATTTTGATATCAAATACAACATTACAGCTATAAAACACAATATAAAGGCTATATCTACTTAGTTTCCAGATTCACTAATGTGACGATGTTCTTTGCCATTGATGAGCGGGGATGTCATGTCGACGAAGATACTTCGGGTTCGGGTTCGGGTTTGGGTTTAGAATTTAGAAGGAGCTTGGATGGTGCTTTGTGTTCAGAATGCTTGAACTTGATTCTTAAACCCAACTTCTTGAAGATCATGTTCCACCCACCCTTTGTCTTCACCAGTTTGTCCAGCTCTTCCTTCATGCTCAAGCACTCTTTCTCCAGCTCCAAGACCCGCTCTTTCATGTTGTCGACAGCCAAAGCGCAGTTTTCGGTCGCACAGGCAGCAGCATATGGTGCAGCTGCATTGTTTTTACCAAGTGCAGCCAAGTTCCCACTGATGTTATGTGAATTCTCAATGTTGTCTGTGACAAATAACCAACTAGCGACTGAGGTTCGAAGTCGAAGTTGCTCGAAAAATAGAACTTGGACGACGACTCGGAGCGGTAACCTCTCGTTTTGGGCAGCATGAGTGCTGCCTTCCAATGACAGCTTCTGGCAGTTCATAACCCTGCAGATTTGTTCCCTTTCAGAGTCTGTTAGCCAGGGATGAGCCTGACAATGTACAAGCAACAAAAATAAGTCTTTCACAACAGTCTAACATTACAGATACTAGACAAGTAGAAACTAAAATTATGAATAATAGGACTGATGTGGAAGATATATACCTTGAGGTAAATATCGATAGCGCGGTAAATTCCATCGTCTAACGCTCGGGCGAACTCAGGAATAGCTGCAGCTAGTGATTGAAACTTTGCTAACTTCAGATTAACATCAGGTGCAACTTCAGCAAGGTATCCATCAATGAGATTAGCCACCATTGTCAATGGAGTATGTGAATTGGATCCTATCAACTGCCGATCCTCAACCTCAACCTCAACCGTAGTCGAAATGCAGTCGGTTCCATTACGATCGAGTAGCATAAAGTGATCAAGAATCCGTTGAATACAGTCGATATCATACAAAGTCTCGACCGAGTACCCCATGTTTGGTATCAGAAGATCTTCAAGAGCTGCTTGTTCTAATTGCGCCCCAATGCGTTTCTCGAGATTCTCTCTACATGAAAAGCTGGCATGTAAAATCATGGCGGTTCTCAGCAGCCTAATTAGGAACTTTGTTGGTGTCACACACTTTTGATCAGGAAGTAATTCAACTATCTCTTCAAGAAGTCTCCTTTGATCTACTTCCGATGAGGTCGAAATGTTCGATACCGGTGCGCTAAAGGTTCCGTCCTCCATGCTGCCTTGCCTTCCCAACAAGGGAAGATGCCTTCTGGCATAATGAATGAGAGAGCCAGCGATTATCTCAGCTTTCATGCCTCTTGATCCAACTTCCAAAATCAGTCTTTTGTACAAGTCCAATCTCAGCAAGGACACATCTTCAAACCACCAATCTTCCCTTACCTTTCGCGCTTTCGACGATACGTGTATTCCATTCCAGAACTCAGCACCTTCCGAGCTCACAGGCCAGCTGAACAAACTTGGATCTGCACAAGCTTTCATTGCCAGTGAATTTATACATCTTGACACAACATGAAGCTCCTCAGCATATGATAAACTCTCCTCACAGGTTTCAAGAGCTTTGATCGAATCCATCCAATTCCCGAAGACTTCGTTCAAGAAACTCTCGGATTGTGCTATAAGATTTCCATTTCCATAATCCTCATTCATTTGAAGAAACTCCGCAGCACACCTAAGCTGGACTACATTGAGTGGAGTGAGCTCCATTTTAACCCCATAACAAAATTTGGCTACAAGTAAGAAGGCTCTGGCTCCACCAGGAATGTCATGAAGTTGCAACACACATTTTCTCTCATCCTCTCCAGAAAACTCCCCAATAAGTTGTTCTAATACCCCACTTCTAGATAGCAGAGGAAACTGAAGATACAAAAGTAGAAAGTTTGATTTCAGGTAAATTAGCAAGTGAATTCAAATATTCACACTTTGATAAGCCTAAAAAATTTCCTCTACCTTGTGTAGATGAAATGAGGTGTTCCCAACTTCAACAATCACATCACTTGCAAGCCCAGATGAACAAAGCCTATAGAATGAGAGAGAGTTCATTTTGATAAGCCTCCATTTTAACAAACACTGATGGACGATTAGTAGGTCGAGTTCAAATATCGATAGACAATGCGACTACGAGAATCACAATGGCTAAAAAGAGAATTCCAGAGATTATCAACAGAAACAACTCTATTGCCTTTGAACATGATTTTAGTTGGATGTTGCTTCTCCCTCCCTCCTCATCTCCAAATTGAAGTTTTCTCCAACATTTTACAGAGAAAAGGAAGACAATCCCATCAATAATCAACCAAATACTCAAAATGCTGTAAAGTTTGTAGAAATCTGCAGGCTCCTAAAACATATTATAATGGGAATGTACTGAGAATTTAAGAGACGCACTATCGATTCGAAATTCCCTCACATTGGAAAATCAAACAAAAACTGAAGAAAAGTAACCTTCTAAGCTTCTCAATAACGATTGACCATTAACAAACAACTTGCTAAAATGGGGTTCGTTTTATCAAAACTTTCAAATGAAATCATCCACAGTCATTTCCATCCAAACATAAAGAAAAATACGACGAACTAAAATATACCGAGACGCTATCAAAACTGTAATCACAATAGATTTAGATTAGAACTAAAAAACGAATTGGAAAAAGGAATACGAGCGGACCAAGTATCGCCATCGAGGTGAAACACTTCGGATTTAGATCCCAGCTTCATAGACGCCATGGCAGAGTATCTCAAGCTCCACTCTCCAATGTCATAGAGAGATAATTTGGGAAATGGAATTGGAAACGATGAAAATGGAAGAAACCGATTGTGGGTTCAATTTTTTTTTTTTTTGTTTTTGCTTTTTGGGTCTGTGATTCAAACGTTTCTCAACTTCTGGGTGAGGAATAGAGATGGTCCCGAGTCCAAAGGAGGTATCGGGGAGAAAATTCAGTTCCTGCAGTTACACGAAAAAGGCAGTGTTTGGCAATTTGCAGTTATTTTTCATTTTACGTTGGGATTTGGGAAGAATTTTAACACAACAATATAATAATAATTACATGGAGAAAATTTTTTATAAAGCCCGTTTCCATAAGAGGTGAACAAATTATTGTTTTGTTTATTTAATTTCCATTGATATGGAAGAAATGGAGCAGTTATATGCTAAGGAATCGAATCGCCATCTTCTTGCTGCCATTAATGTGGAGCTTAAATTCGATTCCTTTTTCTATGCTACAATTTGGCTACGCGCCCTTAAACACTTTCAAAATGGAAATTTTTTGTTGGGAAAATTCTTATATTGATGAAAAAAAAGTGGCGGGGAAGGACCACTCAATGCGTCTACATGTATGATATATTGTGACCACAATATCATTTTATTTATTCAAAATCAACATTACTGTCTTTTGAGAAATTACGGTGGATAGCAAAAATCTTTTATATATTTTAAAATATGTCATATGTTTTTAAAATTTTAAAATATATCAAAAAATTTCACTTATATAAGTAGCATATCAGATACTCATATTATTAGCATATTAGACACTCATATCAGTAATATATTAAATGTATATCACATATATATATATATATATATTTTTTTTTTTTGCAAAAATAGTAGTATATCAAATGTATATCACATACATATTGTATATATATATATATATATATATATATATATATTTTGCAAAAATACTAGTATATCAGATATATATCACATACATATTGTAAGTATATCAAACATTCATATCAAGAATGTATTAGATGTACGTCACATACATATATCAATAGTCATATATATTACATATATAATAGATGTATATCATTTGGGTAAAAAAGTGCTATATTTAAAAGAACCAAATGTGATTGCTATTTTGTCAATTTTACTAAATTTTGTTGTCATATCTGCAACTACTCCTTTTGTTTTTGTTTTAGTATTTTTAAAATGTGCAAATTTAGTTCTATTATTTTCAAAAATTATAATTTGGATAAATCGAATGCACCAACTAACACCTATTCACACAAGAGATTAAATCATGACTAATCTCAATTCACTTAAGAGTTATGAGTATAACAAAATAGTAAGACTCGTTGGATTAGTTGTAAATTTCTTCAACCCAAACAACCTTTATTAAATAATAGACCTAACCCAACCCAACAATGAAATATTTTGGTTGGGTTACTGTATAACCAAAAAGAAAAAAATAATAAAATGGTAATATTTTAAGTATATTTCTATATTGTTTAACATCGCATCAAAATTCGCAAGTGAGTTTTATTTATGGGAAAAAGAACCCTCCACAAACTTTGAAAAATTATTCAATGAAATAAAATAAATATAAATATAACGTTTATGGTGAGTAAAAGAAATTATTTTAAAATTAATAACAAATTCATGTTGGTTCGGGTTCAACCCAAACATATTTTATGTGAACCCTAGACCAAACTAATTCATATAATTTTTATTTATTTGAACTCAATTCAATCTAAAAAAAAAAGTTTATAACCCAATAGGTTAATTGATTTTTTTGGATCTATCGGATTTTTTTAACACCCCTACTAAATAGGTTGGTTGAAAATCGAAGGAATTTTCTCGAGTTGGCTCAAGTGCAACGGCTTGATCGGATCGAGTGGTCCGACTCAATCGACTTGACCCGAGCAATTTGACTCACCTTGCTTCTTTCACCTTACTTTAGGTGAGCTTAGTACATTTCACCGATAACCAATCTAAAAAAATAATATCCATTATAGTATTAGTTTTGGATTGGAAAAATAATAATAATAAAGTTATGCCACATGGATGAATTTTATTGCTGAATCAGCAACCCCCAAAGTGGTTTCTCACAAATCCACAAACCCATATTGCTGACTGTGCCCAAAATTCATCTTAGCTGGCTCATCTAGTAATTATTTTTCCTAATTCAGATAAAAGTTGGAGTTATTTTTTAGTTGAAAGAAAAATACTAAAATTGAACCTTTTTGTTTTTTTAAGTGTATGGACTAAACTAATATTTTAATTTTTAACCTACTTTTTTATTTTTCCTATTTGCAGGGGAAAATGCACAAGTTTGTAGAAAATGTTGGATTCCATGGGTGCAGCCTGCAAGCTTTGGGCTGTTATATTTTTGGGTCGGCCATTTCTCATATATTGGGCCAAAAGCCCAAACATGTCCCTTACCCCTAGGACTCACAGTAGTCATAAATATATGGAAAATGTATTTTTTCTTCTTCTTCGTTTCTTTTTAGTACACTGGAAAATGTCATTTGAATTTTGGTATTAGGGTCAGATTTAGAATTTACATTTAAATACAAAATTTTCTTATATGCGTCTATGACAACTATTTTCTATGATTATTTATGAAATTTTCACTCACTGTTATGAATAGTAAATATTGTCTGACATAATTCAACTAATTAAGCTACATATTTTAACTCAATATATATATATATATATATATWTTTTTTTTTATAGTTTCAACCCGTAGATGTGGTTTTTTTATGGGAATTTGAGGCTTTAAATTTTTTATCGATCATATATGTCTTAACTAGTTGAGTTATACACTATGTTTAGGCCTTGTTTACCTACTAGGAATGAATGGACATGAATCAGAATCAAATCAATGGAAATGGGAATGTTATTGTTGTTTACCATAAATTTGTTGGAATCGGAATTAGAATTCCGTTTATTTTATTTACTAAAACTTGAATTTTGATGAAATATATAACAATTACTAATATATCATTTTTTACTTTCTAATAATTAGAAATATATTTTTCTGCTAATATTTTTAATTTACAATAATAATTTATTTTATTACTATATTATTGGTAGTAAATATTTTTTTATTATAACATTTATTTAATATTAATAAATAATGAATAATTAAAATAAAATCGCATCAACTAAAATACTTTTTTTATTAGAAACATAATTATTTAATATAAAATATTATTAAATTTTATTATTATAATATTTAATAATAATGAATTCTTTTTTTTAAATCTACTGATATTAATTAATAATAAGAAAGTACAATTTAAAAAAAATTTACATTAAATATAAACTTAGAATATTTTATATAAAAATGATTAAATAAAAAAGTTATAGGTCTCAAAAAAAGATAAAAAAGGAAAAGTAATTGCAATAAATGTATTGGACCCACAAAATAAAGAATGAGAATAAGATTGACGAGGACATATGAGATAATGAGATTATCGTTTTAGAGAATGGGAATGAAAAAATTGTGCGGATCCCATATTTGATTCTCATTCTTGCATGTTGGTAAAAACGGGAATGAAAAAAATTGATTCTCATTCCCTTGAAATAAACATGATCTTAGGTTGACAACTCAAAATGATATCTTACTACGTTTTATAAATAAAACATCATCCATGTCAAATCATTAAACGTTGACACATATACTAAAGAAATAAGATCACATTGGATAGTAAAAAGATACTGTAGGTATTTTTTAATGTAGTATTTATTTCCAAAAAATCACAAATTCAACCATGATTTTTGGTATGAATCCAAATCAATGTAAAATTATAAATTTGCTGATTTATGTACTTGTCCCTTTCTCTGAATGCTAAATATATGTTTTATTTTTTAATGTTGTAGTATTTTGGAAATTTTTGTAATTGTCACTTTCTCTAAATTGCTAAATATATGTTTTATTTTTTAATGTTTTAGTGTTTTTATTAAGGAGTTTCAAATATCTCTATATGTTTTAATAATTTTTAATTTAGTCCTTCATCGCTGGTTAATGTTAAGATTGATTTATATTAAACTTACTTGACTTGAAACTTAGCGAGTTGAGAAATATTAAATGAAGGAAAGAATTCAATGTTTAAAGAAATTAATAGAAATTTCAAGTTAATTTCTTCTCTTGAATGACTTATTTCCTTCCAAATTTACATCAATTCATCATCAATTTTAACATTTCTCAATGTCAATTAAAAAATATGAACTAAATTGAAAACAAAAATACTACGAGATTAAGGGCTAAAACAAATCTTTAGCCAATTACATTTTAAAAGTCAAATTAAGGTCGGCTCATATAGTCAATCCCGACATAGCTGAGTTAATAAGACACCTATTACCACCTCAAATATGCATGGTTCCACGTGCAATATGCTAGATTTTCTTTTTTTTTTCTCCTTCATTTTCTCTTCTTATTGCAGGTATTGTCGCCGTATGAACGGTTGGCAGAAGATGGCCCGTGGGCCGACATTCTAGCCCAAATATGGCTTTCACAATCCACGGACGTCGGTACAATCTCTCTTACATTTTATGCCAGGAAAATAAGAAGAAAAAAAAACAAATAATAATAATAAATAAATAAAGGAAAGTTAATTTTAAAAAGAAAATGAGAAAAAAAAAACGTAAAGTGATGAATGAAACGACCAAATTTATGCCAACGCTGAAACATAGTAGTCGTTAGAGATCTAATGTGGAGATTGGGACCATTGGTCCACCAAATATCTTTATCTTTTCCAATTCATTAATACTTTATTTTCCCTTTTTCTTTCTCAAAAATTACATTTATTATAATTTCAAAACTCGTAACTTTTATTTAGAATTACGTAAACGTCTTTCAAATTTTAATAAAGATTCAAACTGGTTGAAATTCAAGCACCTCGTAGATAAGAAACTCGTTTGAATAAAACAAGATTAATAAAATGGTTGTCTATTGTTATGGTTGGATTAAGTTATGACACGATTGTAAATCTCAATTTAACACAAACGATTTTTAATAAATATAATAGATTGAACAACGTTAAATAATAACACTCTTAATGACTAAAAGAAACCATAATTAAAGCACCAAACACACCGACAAAGACTTTAATKTGAGTAAAACCTTATTTAGTTCAATAAATACACATCTTATTGAGAAATATTATGCCTTAATTACTTCTTCTAGTTTGGTTCTGTCTTTTACTTCTTCCT